CTGTTGTGGCTGCTGCTGCTGCTGCTGCCGCCGCCGCTGCTGCTGCTGTTGCTGCAGCATGATAATGATAAGAATACAATTAGTTGTGATAGCTAACGAGAGGTAATTGTGTAATTAGTAATAATGATGTATTGACATGCAAAATAGGTATGGCACGCGCGCAACAACGTGGAGCTGATGTGTTCTTCTGTGTAACATTGCCAGGGTGCATTCAACTTTGTCTGCAGTCTTTTCTTCGTCTTCTTCTTCGTTGGACCCCTCTTTTTCCTCGGTCCCCATGCCCTCCTCCTCATCATCCTCATTTCATCTTCCACTATATTCTTCCTCTCCCCATCTCGATCTGTCTAACCTTTTGTTTCTTCATTTCTATCTCTCTCTCTCTCTCTCTCTCTCTCTCTCTCTCTCTCTCTCTCTCTCTTTCCACCTCTCCCACTCTCGCGCTTTGTTTTGGTATTTGGTCTCTGTCTTACTATCTCGTGCTCTTTCTGTCATGCTTCCCCTCTCACTCGATACCTCTCTATTTCTGCACGCGTGGCATCTACTTTGCTGATTTTCTCGTGTTGCTGTAAGCATAGTCTTTCGCACAGTAGATAGAAAGAGAGAGAGAGAGAGAGAGAGAGAGATGTGCTCGGATATCATTTATCTGGAAGCGAGCACCTGTTCCATAACTTCTAACATAAACCACGTAAACCCGCCATCACGACGACAAATGAAACGACCCGTGAATGTGCTTCCCAGCATTCTTACCGTCCTGCATTGCAACATCCTTGCATCCCAACATACCTGCATCCCTGTGCCCAAGCATCCCCGTGCCCAAGCATCCCCGTGCCCAAGCATCCCCACATTCCAACATCCCTGGATTCCTTCGCCCCAGCATCCCCACATAATAGCATCCATGCATCCCCACATCTCAGCATCCATGCAGTTCTTGGGTGAGTCATCTCGCAGCCTCCCTGTGTGATAACATCACCGCCAGGTATATAAGCAGTGAAGCCCGCATCGTAAACCTATTACTCCCCCGGGGAGAAACCCTGATATTCGGCATTATGTCAAGGTCGCTTAGGCTTCAGATAGAGCATAGAGTCTGAATCACACATTGACTGACACCGCGTATTTACCCTGCATTCATTCTACGGCATTAGCGGCAGCAGTTACCGTCTGCGGGTGACAGTCTAGATGCGCCGAGGGGGGCTAATGAGAAGCAGGTTTGGAAGGCGGAGGAGGGGAGGAGGGGGAGGAGGAGGAGGAGGAGGAGGGATGACGGCGGGGGTTGTGCGCGGCGGCGCACACGTGCGTGCAGTCTGTGGGGTGACACTGACTCACGCGCGCGCGCGTTCTACTCCTCAGCCTCTCTCCTCCCACGTGGCCGCCAGATTGTATCAGTATTCGTCAAAGCATCCTCCCGGGGTTTCAGCGCCAGATTGTAGCAGTGTATGCCAATACCATCCTCATAGGTTTCTTTCTTCTGTGATATTCTTTTTTCTGCTAGTGGGATACAGAGGCGCGTGTAGTGTTCCTTCATTTCTGCTACTGCTGCAGGAAGTGAAAGTGCGTTCGTTATTATAAGGTGGCTTTCATACGGTATTTTACAGTGCGGTCCCTAATGCGTGTAAAACTGAGTTGTGCTCGTGTCAGATTTTGTTACTTGGCGGGCAATGACCCTCGAGACAATGACACTACGTATCTATCTCATATATATATATATATATATGTATATATATATATATATATATT